CATATATATATATGGAAAAATATGGCAAATTACATCAGAGAAGTGGGAAAAAACACCATTGGGTTATCGACAAGAAAGATCAAAGAACATAAAGAATCTTGGTGGTGGAACGACGAAGTCCAAACTAAGGTGAAGACAAAGCAAACTTGCTTCAAGGAGTTGCTACAATGCAATGACGACGAAGAAAGATCGAGAGCTAAACAAATATACAAGGAGGCAAAGCGGGAAGCTAAGAAATCAGTGGCTAAAGCAAATGATAAGGCATACGAGGAAATGTACAAGAGATTAGACACCAAGGAATGACAAAACGGCATCTTCAGGCTTCCAAAATCCAGGGAGAATAGGAAAAAGGATCTAGGTAGCATTAGGTTTATTAAGGACAACAATGATGTTATTTTAGTGAAAGATCATGATATTAAGAGGGTTTGGGGTAGTTACTTCTTTGGCTTATTTAATAATGGTGCCTCTCCCTATAGAGATAGTAACGTTGATGGGTCAGCCGACCTTCATACTACGGCCAATGACTGCCCTACAAGTAGGATTGGGATTGAGGAAGTCAAAATGGCCCTTGGAAAGATGGGGAGGGACAAAGCTATCAGTCCAAATCAAATTCCTATCACTGTGTGGTTGACCCTAGGAGAAGAGAGAGTTAAGTGGTTGACCTATATCTTTAATATTATTTTAGAGACTGCCAAGATGCCAGAGGAGTGGAGAGAGGGAGTGAAGAGAGCTACGGTGATACCAATCTATAAGAATAAAGGAGATCCATAATGTTGTGGTAACTACAGAGGTATTAAACTACTCTGTCATACCATGAAGCTACGGGAAAGGGTGATAGAGGCAAGGTTGAGACAGGTTACTATAGTTTCAGAAAACTAATTTGGCTTTATGCCAGGCAGGTCTACTACGGAGGTGATTCATCTACTTCGAAGGCTTATGGAGAAATATAAGGAAAAAATAGAGATCTTCACATGGCGTTCATTGACCTTGAGAAGGCGTATGATAGCGTACCCCGGGATACGATCTGGAAGACCTTGGAAATGAGATGGATCCCAACTGCTTTTATCCGGGCGATTCGTGATATCTACTGTAGATCTACTACATACGTCAGGACTACAGTTGGCGACACTGAGGCATTCCCGGTGGAAATCGGACTCCACCAGGGATCAAGTCTTAGCCCTTACATCTTCACCTTGATTATGGATGACATCTATTATGCGACACCAGTCGGTGTTCCATGGTGTATGCTTTTCGCTGACGACATTGTCCTAGTTGAAGAGAAACAAAAAATGAGTTGAATAGTAGACTAGCTACCTGGAAGAATGCTTTGGAAGAAAAAGGTCTAAGGATTAATATTGAAAAGACAGAGTATTTATGTTCAAACTTCAGTGGGAACCAAAAAGATGAAGATGTAGAAGTATGCATCGAAGGACACGTTCCACCCTCAAATGATTGTTTCAAGTACCTAGGGTCTATGATACATAAAGATGGGGGTGTAGATGATGATGTTACACACCGTATAAAGGCGGGATGGCTAAAGTGAAGGTCTGCTACTGGAGTTTTGTGTGACAAGAAGATGCCTTTAAAAATTAAGGGAAAATTTTAAGCGCTGTTGTATGTATCATAATGTTGGGCAATTAAGAAGGATCACGCAAGGAGGATGAAGGTCGCATAAATGAGAATTCTTCGATGGGCATGTGGTAGGACTCTGTGGGACATGACACAAAACTCTGCAATTAGGATGTCATTTGGGGTGGTGCCTGTATCCGAAAAATTGAGGGAGGGAAGACTCTGATGGTTTGGACATGTCCTTAGGCGAAAATAGTCGGATGCGATCATGAGGGGTATAGTCGATTACAGTCGACGATGCCAGAAGGAGAGGATGACCAAGGAGGAAGTGGGTAGACTGCTTGAGATCTGATTTGAAGGATTTAGCCCTTACCGAGGACATGACCTCTGACAGGAAAGTATAGAGACTTAAGACCAGGGTAGCCGAGTAGTGTGGGACACAACCATAGGGTGTAGCATCATCTCTCTTCTTTTTAATGTCTTTGTAGTAATTTCCATGACTTCTACTTTTTATACGTTTCTATCATTGGAATTAATGAAGGCTTAGAACTAGGCCAGAAGGAGAGGATGACCAAGGAGGAAGTGGGTAGACTGCTTGAGATCTGATTTGAAGGATTTAGCCCTTACCGAGGACATGACCTCTGACAGGAAAGTATAGAGACTTAAGACCAGGGTAGCCGAGTAGTGTGGGACACAACCATAGGGTGTAGCATCATCTCTTCTTTTAATGTCTTTGTAGTAATTCCATGACTTCTACTTTTTATACGTTTCTATCATTGGAATTAATGAAGGCTTAGAACTAGGGTAGCAGAATAGTATTGCCTTAGTTTAGGTTTTAACCCAATTTGATTTCCTTCTCGTACTTTGCTATGCTGACTACGGTGTATCATTCTCTTCATGTTCTCTTTTAAATTTAGCCGGACTTACATCTCTTTCTATATGCAGAGATTTTTACGCAGGGATTTATTTGCAGCGATTACTTCCATTACAGACGCGCATATGAAGACTATTCTACTATGTATTTATTTATACATACATTGTATTTTATCTTTATTTTTAATTTTCTGACTGTTGGAGGTCTTCCACAGAAGCTGCTCTCAACCTGGCGTTGGGGGGGCAGCCTACTACCCTACCTCTCTCTTACCCAATTGCATATGGGAATAATGTTTTGTTGTTGGTGTTGTTGCATAAAGATAAATTCACTGAAAGTGACATCTTCTCCTATCTATTTGTTCATATACTCATCACAGTAATATGTTTATTTTGTAATACTTATTTCTATATTTGAGTTAAAATTTATTATAGTTAAATTAAATATGTTTTGATTGTTCATCTGTGTACAGTAAATGTGTCAAATTACGATTAAACTTGTAAAATCATTATAATTTATATTAATAGTGAATTTTTTTCACGAACAAAATTAAAACAATGATAAGTATCACATTTATTAATTTATTTTGATTAAGCAGAGAGTTGTTATATTTTTAAAGTAAACGTTAGGATTTGAACCCACACAAAGTAAGATAATATGAGTATTCTTAATCAATTGATCAAAATCCTATTTATAAATTTTTAGCTAACAGTGCACCAAATAATGGTTCAACTTTTAATATTGAATAACCTATTAAGTGATCTTAGTGATTAAGGAGAGAGTTATTCTTCCTAGAAGTCTTAAGTTAAAGTAGATGCGTCCGTAAGTATGTTTTCATTGTCAACGACTAATAAAATTCTGAATAGATATTATCTTATAATTTCAAAAAAACCTTTTAACATTTAAAAAAATGAAGCTCTTTGTAAATAAAAATATGCATTTCTAGAAAATAAAAATCTTAAACAACAACAACAAGAAGTCAGTTGTTGCAAGCTACGATAAAAGAAAAATGTCAAATGGGTTAAAACCTAACTATTGCAACATACTCCGCTATCCTAGTTTAATCCTTCAAAAATTCCCATGACAGAACATATTAAAAGTAGAAGTCAAGGAAAATTACTATAAAGACATTAAAAAGAAGGCAGAGATGCTACACCCTATGACTGTGACCCACACTACTCTACTACCATGGTCTTAAGTCTCCATACTTTCCTATCAGAGGTCATGTCCTCGGTAAGGGCTAAATCTTCAAATCAGATCTCAAGCAGTCACCCACTTCCTCCTTGGTCGTCCTCTCCTTCTGGCACCGACTATAATCGACTCTACCTCTGACCGCACGACTGTTGTCTCCTAAGGACATGCCCAAACCACCGTAGTCTTCCCTCCCTCAATTTTTCGGATACATGCATCACCCCACAAGGACATCCTAATTGCAGAGTTTGGGAGTCATTTCCCACAAAGTCTTACCACATGTCCATCGAAGCATTCTTATTCTATGACCTCCATCCTCCTTACGTGATCCTCTTGATTGCCCAACATTCTGATCCATACATCAGCACTGGTCTTATTGCAACTCTATAAAATTTTCCCTTAAGTTTTAGAGGCACCTTCTTGTCACACAAAACTCCTGTAGCTGCCCTCCACTTTAGCCATCCCGCCTTTATACGGTGCGTTACATCATCATCTACACCCCATCTTTATTTATCATAGACCCTAGATACTTGAAACAATCCTTAGAGGGGGGAACGTGTCATTCGATGCATACGTCTACATCTTCATCGTTTTGGTTCCCACTGAAGTTTGAACATAAATCCTCTGTCTTTTCAATATTGATCCTTAGACCTTTTTCTTCCAAAGCTTTCTTCCAGTTATCCAGTCTACTATTCAACTCAGTTTTTGTTTCAGCAACTAGGACATGTCGTCAGCGAAAAGCATACACCATGGAACACAGTCTGGTGTCGCACAATAATGTCGTCCATAATCAAGGCGAAGATGTAAGGGCTAAGAGCCGACCCTGATGGAGTCCGATTTCTACTGGGAAAGCCTCTGTGTCCCCAACTGTAATCCTGACATATGTAGTAGATCGACAATACATATCACGAATCGCTCGGATAAAAGCAATGGGATCCGTCTCGTTTCCAAGGTCTTCCAGATTGTATTGCGTAGAACGCTATCATACGTCTTTCAAGGTCAATGAACGCCATGTGAAGATCTCTATTTTTTTTCCTATATTTCTCCATAAGCCGTCGAAGTAGATGAATCGCCTCCAGTTTTAGCCCTATATGAGCCATGATCCATGTAAAAGGGAAGGCCGTCTAATGTTCAAGGCCATATCCGTAATTTTCAGCACTACGGGCCTACTATATAAAGAAAACCGAACGTTTCAAAAACGAAAGGGAATGTATTTTGGCGTCTAATGGTACCGTAATATTTTATTCATTTTCTGTTGTTATTATCATTTATTTTTGTTTTTAGTGAATTCTTTTGTTGAAAGGTTTTTTGATATATTCGTTGATTAAAATATTCTCAGAGGAGAGAAACAGGAAACGTAAGTCGCGTTCTAAATCTGCATCCGATGATTATCTGATATCGATGAAGCCGAGGTATGTAGATCGCGATTTTGTTCTTTTGGAAAATATATGCTTTTAATTTCAAATTTTAGTTAATGCGAAATGCTTTGTAGATTTCTGGATACCTTAACGACAAAACGGAAATGCTTTTCAAGAAGTTGATGTGGGAAGCTATGAATAAATGTTATGCAAAGGTATTTCAGTTCTCCCTGTCTCTCTCTTCAATTGCAGTTGTATCAATGCTTTGAGTTTATATTACAATTGTTTAGAACTCAAAAACTGTGAGGAATGGAGTGGTAGAGAAAAATGAAATTGATTACTTGTTTGCATACTTGGACTTGGGGTGTAGCGGATGAGATAATCTAGTTTTCAATGTCGGAATGTGTTCTAGAATGTTACCTGAGTGAACCGTGAAGGCAGCTGGTGGTCTCTCGCTTGAAAATTGTCAATGAAGCTGTCAGCAGTGTGCTGAAGGTATTTATTGTTATCACTTAATGGTTAGGTTCATAAAAAGAAAAGAAAATCTTATCCAAAATAATTTAGGTGACTTTAGTTGTAATTTTTTTTTACTGTTTTTCTTGCATACTGCCTGGTTTAGAGGCATAAAATAATTAATCTTTATCTTCCGAGTGAACTGTGAGCTACTGGAGTTATACAAATTGGTTTGATTGTTAATTTGTTACTGCAATTTTCCATCCAACTATATGCTAAATTGGCTATCAGATCACTGAAGATGTCCGTTAAATTAGAACTTTATTTAGCTTTTATGCCCTTTCTATCCTCTAACATGTTGCTGTTTAACATGAGATGCCAATGGATATGAAGGTTAATTAAGTCTAGAAGACATGTACAAGGGATAAATGATAAGAGGGAATTTTCAGTTGTCTGTTTTTGAATGTGCCATCGGGAAAATAGAGTACTTACATTCTAAAATGAACAAAATCTTAGTGGTCATGCTAACCGCTAATGCTTCATCTCCACCAATGGAGTCGGACACTAAACTGCTTAATTGGTGTTTTCATATTTGTTTAACATTCATATAACCACTTCCACGCGCTTTTTATCCATCATATCTCTGTAAACATTCGGTCTAATATTGTCCATGCATTTTGTTTTGTTTGTACTCTATCATGTATCACTTTTTCAAAGTGCTACTAAACCAAGCTTTTGGTTTCTCTTCCATTGAATTTGTAATCAAGGTATGTGAATCTATTAGGAGATTTTAGCTTGAACTGTTCAATCACTTGAATGTCACTTCATCAAATGCCAGAAACTTGCATCACAAGTTTTGCTTTTACATTCTTTATTATATCCTTTGTTTTTTGATGTTCAGGGTTAATCTCATTCATTTAAGCCTAATGATGTATTCCAAAATTGGATTATCCACTGATTCTATATTTGCACAACTTTTTCCAATTCACCCATATCTTATACGGATATTTACTGGCAGAAGAAAAAAATAAAGCCGCTACAGAGAAGGAATCTTCTGCTAAGAAAGCTGTTGCTGGCAGGATGGAAAGTGTAAAGGAAAAGGAACCGGAGAATAGAAAGGTAAATATCAACTGCCCCATTACATGTAAAATATTCCTTGTTGAAGTTTCATTTATTTCAGACTTGTCCTCCGTAGCATGCCTCCTTGAGAACATAGAAGAAAATTTTACCATCTACCATGAATTATTTTCATTTCATGTCTTTGCCTTGTTGAGATTCTTTTATATTTTATGGTTATATGACATTCTGGGTTTCCGTTTTAATTTTTAGGTTATATTTATTCTTGGCATAATGATGTGTTTTTTCCTCTCTTTTTGTAGAGACTGAGTTCGAAAATCAACTATGATGCATTGGAGAAGCTAACCGATGAAATACCAGTATGCTCCGACTCTCTCTCCCTTTGTAGAATAAATATGCTATGTTGCTTTGGATCTTGTTATTTATTTTCGCCCTTGGGTTTGATTCCTTGTAGGAGGAAGTTACTGAAAAGCCTAACATCAAATTTTGAAGCTTGTGGTTTTGAGGAAGACAACTATAGCGACGAGTTTGAATCCGAGAATGCTAATCTATATTCCTACATAGACGAGGAAGAGCAGTATGATTGTAGAGAAGATTATGATGAATATGAAGAATTTTGAAGCTAAAAATGATCTTGACAACGTTATCCTGCTGTTAAGTTTCGGCATACAACGAGAACAGTCATGGTCAAAATTTGCATATAGCTGCAATTATTTGTTATATGATCGATTTTGCAATTTGTTATTTCGATCAATCTAGGAATGATACACAGCTGAGTATTTGATCGAGACATTTGATTTTGTGATTAATGTAGGCATGTTAGGATGTGGGGATCAAATTTTGCGTATAAGCTGGAATGGCTTTGACCTTGTTTAAACACAGGGAACTATTTTGCTCAAGATAAGTTTTTACCAATTTCGCCATTTTTTATTCATGGAGAGGTATTTGATGTTCCAATTTCATCCTTAAACTATTACTATCATTCCAAATTAGTCCTCAAACTATTGAACATTTTAATTTCACCCCAAACTATGACTTTCATTCTAAATTGGTCCTCAAATTTTTTGAACATTCCATTTCCTCCAAACTATATGTATACCAAATTACTAATCGTATCCCTTGTTAATAAAATTGTTAGACTAAGTTTATTATAAATGTTTGAGAAAAAGTCAAGTTAAACTATGGTTGAAACATATTAGATGAAAGTGGAAGATTCAAAAGTTTAGGGACCAATTTAGAAAGATAGTCATAGTTTAAAAATGAATTAGAATGTTTAAAAGTTTAAGGACTAGTTTAGAATGAGAGTCGTAGTTTGAGGATGAATTAAAATATAAAAAGCATAAGGACTAATTTAAAATGAAAATTATAATTCGGGGATATACGATACAATTAACTCATAATTTATATTTTACTTAAAATTTTTATCATTTTAATTTTAATTTTAATTTTTATCTTGAATTATTTGCTCTTCTAGAAATGTAATTAATTATTCTGAAACAATAACAATGTAATAGTAATTTGTTGCTTTAGGATAGAATACAGTTATCAAATTATTGTTTTAATAAACTTTTCTGATTTTATAATTAAACTAATGAAATTTTAAATATAAAGTTATATATATATAACTAAAAGTATTATATATCAGAATATATTAGTTATTTATTTTATTTTTAATTTTTAATAAAATAATTTAGTTGTAACTTTAAAAAATAATTTATTATTCTTAATCAATTATTGAATAAACTGGAGTGTATTTTTCCTTTTGAAATATCAACTTGTAATGTAAAGCATAAAATAAAAGATAGAAGAAAGAGATTGAGCACTGAGAGAGCAGCGAAGGGCCAGCTTCAACCTCCGCCTCCAGGTTTTCTTCTTTTTTATTTTCATTATTTCTTCAATTTATCAGATTTTATAGTCTTTACTTCTTCCTTTTCTTTAATATAAACGAAAATTATTGATAGGTTTTTTAGTTTAATCGTGAGATAAAGGTGTTTTCGATCTAATTTTCGAAGAATTTTAAGTTCTAACCATTCTTAATCCGAAATCCATTATTCTGAAATCCCAATCCTCCAAATTTCTTCTCGTTAAAGCGGGTTCGTCCTGACCTAGGTTTTTCGATTACGGCTTTTTCCTTTCCTCTTTAGTTTTTGCTGCCCCCAAGCTTTATTGCGGGTGTTAAATGAATAACATGTTTTATTCTCAGTTACAAATTATCCCTTTTCTTCGCGATTAAAAATCTCTCTTTGGACATTTTCTCGGTATTTTGTACGCATACGGTGGTGTTTGTCCTTTTTGTGAGCCTTTAGTTTTCATTAGAAATTCACACGTACTCTCGTATTTACGTTTTCTTCTTCTTCTCGTTGGTAATATCTCCCCCTATTTTCTTTATTTTCAGATGTTCGTAGCGGTAGTTTTAGTTGCTTTAATAATTTTATTTATGATTTATGGATTGTGATAGGTTTATTGGATCTATTCTTGTAAAAGGCTGATTAGATTTTCCAAATTATGTGCTTATGCAATTCTGAGCTACTGGGTATATGTCTAACAAGTTTCACTACTCATGGTGTTCTCTTTATTGTTTATAGCATCTAATATGTGGTTTCTTTTTTCAAGTGTGTAAAAAAATATTTAAGAATTATGGGGTTAAAGTATTTGCATTTTTAATTAACTTCATCTGCTATTTAAGTGTTGAAGAATGAGGTTTTTTCTTGGTAAAGAATGTCATTGAAAAGGTTGGGATGTGCTTAAAACCATTTGGCTTTGAACTTCTCTAAAACTTGTTTGGGAGATTTTGTTTTTGATCAAGACAGGGCACCATGATATATGTCTACAATGAGATATGCAATTAGACAATGCTGAACATTTTATTTTTTTCATTTCATTGCAGATTTGCTGCATCTTTTTTTTTGGACAGGTTCTGTAGTTGAGCATGTTACTTAATTGGTCATTTGTTTATTGTTTTCATTGTTTGCTTATTATACTGTAATCAGTTTTACTTTCAGATTGATCTCTTACATTGTTTTTACTTTTTTCTTCTTTTATCAGAACAATACTAAGACTGATAGAAGTAAAGTCTTGCTCCTCTTATAGGAGGAGGTATTTTTTGTATGGTTTTGAAGAGTTCGGAGATATATACAAAATGGCAGGAATGTTACCTGGGGATTCCTCACATCATTCAACCTCTGACAGCGGGCCTTCTAGAATTTCTCAAGAAAAGCAAGAGGAAGTAGGTCGGTGGTATTTTTCAAGAAAAGAAATAGAAGAAAGTTCCCCATCAAGAAGGGATGGTGTTGATTTGAAGAAAGAGACGTACTTACGCAAGTCATACTGTACATTTTTGCAGGATTTGGGCATGAGGCTGAAAGTGTAAGTTCATGGTTTACGTTTGGCTGCAATGTTTTATTGCAATTCCCTAATTGTTTCAGTTCTGGTTTCTGCATGAAAAATGTAGAACTTGAAATTACTTGATCATAATTTTATAAGAGAAAGAAATGGTCTAAAAATGGTATCAATATTCTTTTGAAAATATATTTTCATTTTTTGTGTCAATGGTGCTCATAGCTTCTATTAGTGATCATTTTAAGCAACATTTACTGGTTTGGATAGGATGCCATTTGGTAAGTTGTCCTTCAATCTCTGTGGCCTGTTATAGTGAAAGAATTCAATGGATATCTTTTAAAATATTGAGCCATCTGTAAACACTTTATGTATTAGTTCTCTCCAACAGTTTGAAAATTGGAAATAACTTCTAATGCTTTTCTTAGGTAGGAAGTTCTTAAATTTTGTTTATTTAACATTCTTATATCTCATAGTTCAAACATTGAGATATTATTTATTGCAACTCCCTAATTGTTTCAATGAATGTATCTGGATGGTTAGTAGAACTTGAAATCACTTTATCTTAATTTTATAACAGAGAAATGGTCTAATTGTCATCATTATCCTTTTAAAATTGTAATAAGCTTTCATTTTCCTGTCCATGCTGCTACTATCGATCGTTTTTGCTACATTTTTGGTTGGATAGGATACCTCTTGGTACTATATCCTTGGATCTCTTTGACCTGCAATAGTTAAAGAATCTTGACAGATAGTTGTTTGCAATCAGACTGACACAGGAGATGGTCTGGTATGTGCACATTGGTGCTCATTAACGTGTTGACTGTCAGTCATTCTATGATTATTTCCCTTATTCTGTCTCTGATATGCTCATTCATTATTCAGCAAAAGCCATTGCTAATAAATTTTAGCATGTTGTCTGTGTCTTATGTGTGAATATATGTCATGCTTTTTCTGGTCTGGTATTATCTTTCTGCTAAAGTATTCTACTTGAACAAACAATAGGTGGTAGTCCAGCTGTGCTTTCATTTGTGACTAGGTCAGACTTATCATCATCATCAATGTTTGGGTGAAGTTGTTTAGACATTATGTTTTTTGTCACACAAAGACCTGCTCTTCTGACATTGATTGTTGTATTTTTAAGTATGCCAATATTTGTTGGTTCTGATTGAATGAATTTGACCGATGTTATTACCTGATACAGGCCCCAGGTAACAATAGCCACAGCAATCATATTTTGTCATCGGTTCTTTATTCGACAATCACATGCAAAGAATGATAGAAGAGTGAGTTATTATTCTCAGTCTGGTGAATATTGTTAAAACTTCTTCATATAAACTCAATATTTCCCTTCTGAAATAAGGCAGCCTTTATGTATTTTGGTTCCATTTCATTATGAAATTTTATTCAGTTAGCTTTTATTTTGGTTGAGAGAATGTTGGTCTGCATGATAGAATGGTTTAGGGTTGAAAAAGTGTCATAATAGAGGCTGTAAACATGATTGTTTTTGTTAACTTTACCTATCATTTTATTTCTGATGGAAATCTTTTGTAAGCATTGATTTGGAACATTCTTATGCTCATTTTTTCTCAACTTCATTTCCTTGCTTGCTTGATAGAGTATTGCTACCGTGTGTATGTTCCTTGCCGGGAAGGTGGAAGAGACACCTCGTCCATTAAAGGATGTTATTCTTGTTTCCTATGAGATAATAAACAAAAAAGATCCTGCTGCATCCCAGAAGATCAAACAGAAGGTATTCATTGAATTAACTGTGCTTTCACCAGTTTATTTGCATTCCTTATTCTGATGCTTGAGTCGCCACTTGTCTTCCCTATCATGTTTTTTGCTCCAACTTGTCAGATTGTTCCCTGACCTACTTGCACTTGCTGTTCCATTTGTATAACCTTTGTAATTTTCTTTGCTCTCGTGTTTATTTATTTATTTATCATTTTCGCTTGTTTTCTTATTCTTCTAGCATATAAAACTGACACCAATAGTAATAATTGGGGTGAGTGCTCGACCGAGTCGAGTTAAAAAATTTCGAATTATTCGAGTTGACGAGTCCTATTTTACAACTCGGAGTTGACTTGAAATTTTCTCGAGTCGAGTTGAGTAGATTTTTTGAGTTTCTGTTTAAATTTAATTGTGTATATTTATAATATTATAATATTATTTGGTTCCAATTTAAGTTACTTTCTACAACCATATATACAATAAAAAATATGTTTCTTCATATTTTTTTCATATGTGATATACATATATCATCATACAAAGTCGAATGCCTCGACTCTAACTTGAAAATAAATCCACTAATTACTAAAAATTTCGAATTATTTGAGTTGCATATTTCAACTCGATTTGAATTTTTTTCAAGTCGAGTCGAGTTTATGAAATTCTAACTCGAAGTCAATTCGAGTCGAAAAAATCGGTTTTTCAATTCGAGTTGAGTTTTGCTCACCCCTAAGTAATACATTGCCAATGAGTAGAAAATACTTGTTAGAGACATTGCTTGATGGTATTGTGGTGTGTTCTGTTTCCTTGTGCCTGAATTTGTTGTTCTGTTTCTCTTGAATTTAAAATTCATGCTTAGAATCACTTTATTCTCCAATAGCTGTGTCCTTGGTAACATATCTCGCTGCTACCTCACTGGCTCACTTTTTCTTTAGATTTTGTCAAAATTTAGTTTTTAAACTTTTTCTTGGTAAAATTCATTCTTATTATCCTAGCTATTTTAGTTTTTAAACTTTTTCTTGTTTATTCAAATTTTTTGTCTGCACAACTGTGGTTACAGAGCTGCTCATAAACTTCAATCTATATCTTGCAGGAGGTGTATGAGCAACAAAAGGAGCTAATTTTAATCGGAGAGAGGGTTGTACTTGCCACATTGGGTTTTGACCTCAATCTTCATCACCCGTATAAACCTCTTGTTGAGGCTATAAAGAAATTCAAGGTTGCACAGAATGCTCTTGCTCAAGTTGCGTGGAATTTTGTTAATGATGGGTAAGTTTAGTGGTGTCCCTTCAAGTGTTTAAGATGATCTCTACCTTCTGTTCCCTTTTGACACACTGCAAAGCGGCTTGCAGGCTGAGGACGTCGCTCTGCCTGCAATTTAAGCCCCATCATATTGCGGCAGGTGCCATTTTCCTTGCTGCCAAGTTCCTCAAAGTGAAGCTTCCTTCGGATGGTGAGAAGGTTTGGTGGCAAGAATTTGATGTCACCCCTCGCCAATTAGAGGGTTGGTGTCCTCTCCATAACTTTGTAAAAGATATGATGAATACAATTGGGCATACACTAGAGGGCCCCAATGGAACTGGTGTTGCTTGCTTATAGCATTTGCTAGATGATGCTTCTCTTAAATTTGATTCATTAATACCTGATCATAACTGTCTGTTTCATATAATTATTTTGGTTTCGGTTGGCAGTCTGCTTATTGGCATGTTGTGTGGAGTGCAATCGATGAGCTAATCCATGTCTTTCTTTTTGTTTTTCCACTTACCAACTGTGGTTTTTCTTGTAGAGGTTAGCAATCAAATGCTGGAACTTTATGAGCAAAATAGAGTGCCCCCTTCTCAGGGTAGTGAAGTAGAAGGAAGTGCTGGCGGTGGTTCATCTCATAGAGGACTTGCAAAACATCCTTCCGGAAGTGAAGAAAAACAATCACGGTCAACAGCTGACCACTCATCTGCAGACAACCATGGAATGCTATCAAGAACCGCTCAAAATCGAAGTAATGATAATGGGAGTGTGGAGATCTGTAGTGACATTACGGATCACAAAATGGATACGGAAAACAAGGATAGTCAACATCATGAGCAGTTGCCCCACAAGGATAACATGAGGGAAGTTTCAAATAAATCTAGGTTTGGAATGGAGCGAACTGCTGGGGAAGACCCGGAAAGAAGTGGTGGTAGAAATGAAATTGCAGAAACAGGTGAGTGGAGGGATGATGGAGCACCACGTAAGGTTAGCAATGTGGTTGGACGGAACTTGGACAATAGGGAAGGACCAGTTGGGCAGTCTCCCAAGGAAGCTATTAAAATTGACAAAGACAAGCTGAAGGCTGCACTCGAGAAAAGGAGGAAGTCTCGTGGGGAAACAACAAAGAAAAAAGATGTAATGGATGAAGATGATCTGATTGAGAAGGAGCTAGAGGATGGGGTAGAATTGGCTGTTGAAGATGAGAAAATCTGGCGAGAACGTCGACAAAGCTGGTCCAAGAATGAGAATCAAGATCATTGGGAAATGAGAAAAGGGAACCACTTTGTTACAAAGGGGCAGTCATCTAAGGGAATCGAAACAGAGGCTGCTGAGGAAGGTGAAATGCTGGATGATGCTTCTCCCATAGTGAATGGACGGAAGAGAAAAGGTGGAAACCCATCAGACAGGCAGCCCGAAGGGAGGAAGCGTCACGAGTACAACCATGACAGCATAGAAAAAGGGCAAATAATGGGTCGGAGTAATTATGCAGAAAAAGAGCATAGTAGGCATGCTTTGTGAGGCAGTAAATATTGAATTCTTTCAAAGTTGGCTTGCACCGTGCAATATGATCTTTAAATACCGATGTGGAAATAACTCCAGAAATGGTGAGAGAATGGTACCTTTGGAAACTCAGAAAGATCGGCAGAACTGTATTTTGAATATAGGATTGCCTACAATGGCCGCATGTCATGGCTGTAATGTAATGTTCTAAACTGAGGATGCTACTTGATTTGCCGCCGTCGAGCGAAAGTAAAGAGGCAGTTTGAACTATTTTCAACTTAGTTCAGATTTCCCCCCAAAAAAAGGAAAAATAAAATGATAGTAAGCCTAGACGGACAATCTCTGAAAATCCCATTTCCTTGGTGTTATTTCAAGTCTGTTGCTGCATTTTCAAGCATGGACGTTTGAACTAGTTTTGTTTCTCTATTTGCATTTGGTTTTATTGGATTATTTGCACTTCCTTTTCTTACTATTCAACTTTAGATCTTAAGCTTGTGAGTTGTGTTATCCATTGTTATTACTGGATGGAAAAGAAACCATTTTTTGTCTTAAAAAAGCAGGCTTAATACAAAAACAAGTGCCTAAATTTTATCTCCAAAAATAATTTGGTGTCTAAAGATTTTTTTATTAAAAATTGGTGTTTTCTCAGTTACACTTTTAAGTGTATACACGTATATGTATATATTTTTTTTTAATTTTTTTTATAATACAAATATTATTTTTAATGAAAAATTAAAAAATTAAAAAATACTTTAATTTATTTACAAAAGAACCTCAAACTTTTAATGAAATTATAAAAAAATTTAAAAAACTAAAATATCTCTTTTCAACCCCATTATCATGGTGGAACACCGACGGAGCGACATCGAGGATGAGTTTTGAACGGAATTGAACGGTGGTTCGAATGGTGGTGATAGCGTGGCATATGGATGTCAGTATCGGTTGGAATCAATGAGAAACAACGACTGTGGCTTAAAATCCGACGAACCTTCGAATGCTTCTCCACGACAAATGGTGGCAGCTTATGGTGAAAGGTCAATGGGGGTTTGATCGGGAGTCGACGCAGTATCGGTTGGAATCAATGAGAAACAACGACTGTGGCTTAAAATCTGACGAACCTTCGAATGCTTCTCCACGACAAATGGTGGCAGCTTATGGTGAAAGGTCAACGGGGGTTTGATCGGGAGTCGACACTAATCTTAACGACGGTGGCAGTGACAGCTACGGCCAGTCGATCTGTCGGCAACCATGGAAGGGGGAAAGGGGGGAAGAAAAGGGGTGGGGTGGAGGGTTTGCACACACGGAGATGGTTTTTTTAAGGCTTAATACAAAAATAAGTATCTGAATTTTACCTCGAAAAACGTTCTAGTGCTTAAATTTTTTTTTCGCTAAAATTAGATGTCAAACGTTTTCATCGGAGCACTTTTAAGTGCTTGGACCGTAATGGCTGTTAAATTTGATCGTTAAGTGACACATGTCGAGTCATGATAATTTTGAGAATATATTTTAAATTTAAAAAAATAAAAAAAAATAATTAAAAAATCGCGTGATCATTGTAGCCTCATCCCCCCGATTTCCCCCCTTCTCCCTTCACAACTTCCCCCTTCCACGGTCGTCGGTCGGCCGTCCGTGACTGTCACCGCCACTATCGTTAGCGTCGTTGTTGACTTCCGATCAAAACCCGTTGGCGTTTCGCCGTAAGCTGTCACTGTTTACCGTGGAGAAGCATTCGAAGGTTCGCCGTCACCGTCGTTGTTTTCATCGATTTCAGCCGATCTCGACATCCATAAGCCACGCCGTCACTGCCATTCGAAACATCGTGTAGTTCCGCTCAAAACCCATCCTCGTGTCGATCCGTCTGTTGGTAATGGGTTGAAATGAAATATTTTAGTTTTTAGAGTTTTTTTATAATTTCATTAAATTTTGGGGTTCTTTAGTAAATAAATTAAGTTTTTTTTCTTTTTTAATTAAAAATAATATTTTTATTATTAAAAATTTAATAAGTATAACGGAGGCGCCTAAAAGTGTAACTGAGATAACGTCAGGCACCAATTTTTAGCGAAAAAAATTTTAGGCACCAAATCGTTTTTTGAGATAAAGTTTAAAAACTTATTTTTACATTAAGTTTTTTTTTCATATATTTTTTATTTTTTAAATATTTAAAATAAATTCTCAAAATTACTAAGGCTCAACATGTGTCACTTAACAGTCAAATTTAACGGCCGTTATGATCCAAACACCTAAAAATACTTCGATTAAAACATTACACATCTAATTTGAACGAAAAATTCTTTATACATTATAACGTTTTTCGAGGCCAACTTCGTGCAATTATTCTTATATTAAGCCTAAAAAGCACTAACCTATGACCCTTTTAAGCTGAATAAACACATTTTCCTTAAAAAAATTATATATTTTTATATTTATTTTGAGCTTGTGGTTGTGTATTTTACCCATTATGTTTTTATAGACAACTTTACATATAAATTTAACATTTGTCAAGATGTACGAAAACACAGCCGATCTCGTGTACTTCATAACAATGGCATAGCTTGAACTTAGAACTAGTTATATATATTTACTCAGATGCAATGAATTGATTATAGAAAAATATAAAGAGAAAATAACTTCAGTGACCGAAAATATCTTATAATATACGATTTTAACTAACTTTTTTTGGATTTGTCAAAATGACCAACAAAATCGCAACGCGAACTCCAACTTCGCAACTCAGTTTCCAAATTCGCGTTGCGATTTTCCATTTCGCGTTGCGATAGTCTAAATTCGCATTGCGAAATCGCAACGCGATCTTAAATTTGCAACTCAGTTTCCAAATTCGCGTTGCGATAGTCCAAAATCGCATTGCGATTTATTAACCAATAATCATCGACCTTCCATTGCCGATGTTCATTCATTCAAGATAAAAGTCTTGCTCTTGCATTTATAGTCAATGCATGCAACTTACAATGCTCAATCCCACATAGTATTGGAAATACTATTGGGAATGAAAGAGAACAAGGGGAACTCTCGCGCGCCGCCGCCGCCGCCGTCTCGTCTCGGGTCGGGTCGGGTCGTGTTCGTGGACTATTGCAACGCGAAATGGAAAATCGCAATGCGAATTGGAAACTGAGTTGCGCAGTTGGAGTTCGCGTTGCGAATTTAAGATCGCGTTGCGATTTTGTTGGTCATTTTGACAAATCTAAAAAAAGTTGGTTAAAATCGTATATTATAAGACATTTTCGGTCTTATTTTCTCAAATATAAATCCCAATGCATTAGCAACGGAGCACCCTTCCCTTTTGCGTTGGCCACCACAGAAATTTATATTATTTGTTAAATGATTATATTGGGAGAAGGAGAGAGCATCAACCACGCAAAAATGCCCAGATAGGGTAGTAAGAATATTTTTTTTTGTGTTGTCATTAATTTTCTATTTTTGAGAAATGTATAGTGTTTTTGAAAGATTCTGTGTAATATCGGCGTCTTCTTCGATGCATTGTAGATAAAATCCAACTTGAAAAAAAAAACTCTGAAGAAAAAATGGCACCTTACTGGTTGCCCCATTTTGCCCCTAAACTGGTTACTTTTTGCTACATGTAGCTTCCATGTGTTGAACATGGCCTCGTCATTAAGAGTTTATGTTGGAAAACCGACAGAGTTAATGTCGAAAATAATAGAGCCTAGTTTCACCCACATGCATGACACCAATGACGAGGCTTTCAACCCATCTTCTTCGTCTCCGTTTCTAAAGAGAGATCTCCAATATTGTTCAAAACATCCTTTCCTTTCCCGAGTGTTATTTCAACGAATTATGTACATGTGTGTAGGGTTTTGTAATAGGAAGATGGGGTCTCGCAAATAAATAATACAATGGGTTAAAGATTGTAACTTGAATTTTATTTAATTCAATCTCAATTGAAGTATGATATAAGAAAAAATCTATTACGAATGTAAAATATGTACATTATATAAGATTTTATGCCCGAACAATTATATACATATATGCATTAAGAGATTTGTTGTTATTCGTTAAGGTTCAGCATGACATATGTTACGGGTATGAGCGTTTATTGTCAAATGACTAAGAGTTATCTTTGAACAAATATACTATCTCGTACTCAGTCCAAATTTATAAAAAAAAAGGCTATTATACGTCTTTTGCGATCTCTGTATAAACAAACACCATCAAAGTATTAAGCAGATAGAAATTGAAAAATTCATACGCTAACTTCAGTCCATTATATAGATTACTCTTTGTATATAAAGTTTAAATGAATTATATATGTACATTATACGGTTAATGAGTAAAGACTCTTCAAACTTAGCCGCCGCGGTAGCCATCACCTACAAATTTCTGCATATGAAAATGTAACCGGAGAGAAATACATAATCAAGCTAGCGTGACCACATGGGCTCTCCCAGGCTAGCCTGGTCCATTACCAAATCCATGTCAAAAATGGGCATGCCTTGTGAACCCATGAGCTTGGATGGTAGTGACCCGTTATTACTCGGGCTTGTCGTGCCGAACCCATGCTGATAGGATGTGGTTTGCCTCACCCGGAGGTGCACCACCTCTGCCTGTGCCAGTGCCAACTGCGTTTGAAGGGTGTCTATCTGCTGCTGCAGTGATGATATCGCTCCGACGCAGCCATAAACTGGGTCGCGTATCCTGGCGTTGGCCTCATATACGATGCTGCTGACGGCGTCGCCTCGCTGGTGGACCGGCAACTCCTGCAATTTCGATAGCTCACGTGTCAGCTTGGACGGCCCAAAAGGGAAAGGAAGGAACAGCATTCTTTAAGGTATGAAGACGGTTAAATATTCACTAACGTCCATCCCTAATATAATAAAATATGATACGTTTAATATGCATTATTATATTTCTATTTGACGAGAAGAGGAGCTGGTCAAACAAATATCGTGCACTTCTTTATGGCAAAAGCAACTAGGAAACATCTGCATGTGATCCCAAAATGACCTTTAGAAATTGAAGCAAAAATGAAGAGAAAAAGAAGCGAACAAATGATAGCTACTAAGGCAGCTATGTGTACTATGGTAAGATGCTCACAACAATTGAAAACAAATTTATCTTTGCCAATTTTGTGCCAAAATTTCAGACTATGAACAGGAAACCATATTTGCTTCAGGTCGACCACGGTACGGTCGTTTTTATGAAAATTTTAAATTACCATATAATTTAGATTTTTTCTTATATTTCTATAATCTTATTAAAATTTTATAGGTTATTCCTCTAATATAAGATCATGTGTCGGTGCATGTGGTATCCTTCTCATTAGTTTGCCAAATTTGCCTCAGAAGCACCTAAATAAATTTGGCTCTGCACATTTAGATGCTTAATTAAGCAGTACATAATAAAGTTGGTTAAGCCATAGAATTGTCCAAGCTCACCTGAAGCATCTTGTTGACATTGCTAGCACCGAACACCTTGTGTACATTGGAGAACTTCTGGGGCTCATCAGCTGGGAAATAAGGAGCAAATACACAGTCTTGGGCGCACCTTCTCCTTAGGAGTTTGCATGCTGCACACGGCGAGGCTGCCCCCTGCTTCCTCCCGCTACTCTCCTTCATGCTTCTCGCTTAACTCTAATTCTATTAATTTCCGTCGATGAACAAACACACAAACGAAAAAAAGCTCACCCCACTTTTTGTTTTTCCCTTGAAGCTGATGTATGTAGTTCAGAAGAGCAAAGAGAGAGGAGTTGAAGAAGAAGATGATGATGAAGATTGAGAGTGAATCAGAGGGGGAGAAGTGGGGTGTTAAATAAGCAAAAGTTCAATTCATCTGAGATGGACCCCCTTTAGATTTTGGTAGACAAAAGACATCTAACTTCTTAAAAAAACATATATAATTTGGGATCAATAAAACTTGACTCGATTCAAAAATTAGTTTTTTTTAATTTGATTAAATGTTAAAAATATATTTTGATTGAATAAAGTTTGAGATATAAAAAAACCATAATATTTCAAAAATTTTAATAATTTGTGATTGATTTTTAAGTTCGAATTGAGTACCTCATATATATATATATATATATATATATATATATATATATATATATATATATATATATATATATATATATATATATATATATATATATATATATATATAATCCGCTTACACTATGTAAAATTAATAAGTTTTACATTAATTTATAGTCATTACATTTAAATAAATAAATGATTTAGATTTAATTAAAATTTATAACCATAAATAAATATCTTTAAACTCACAGTAAAATAATATATCTTTTTACCCCAATCCTAAACCTTAAACCCAAACCCTAAAATCCTATATCAAACTTTAAACCCTAAATCTTAAACTCTAAACCTTAAATCCTAGACACCAAACGCTAAAGCTTTAGTTAAAATAAATTAATATCACAACATTATAAATATTTATAATTAAATTTTTAAAAGAAACTCGAGCAACTCAAGCCGACTAAAATAATTTAGATAGATTTATAAAACAAGACTCGTTAACTAAATTAATTTAATTTTTTTAACTCAACTAGATTTGAATCGACTCAATTTAATGATATCCCTGTCTACAGTGAAATAACATATTTGGCTCTATATTTCTAATCTTTTATATATTTAGTTCACTTCTTATAGGTAATGTTTGAAGTAGTGTGAAAATGATGCATGTGCATGCATAGGACTAAGAGAATAACATGCTAATTAATGAAAATAGTATTTTATAATACATTTGTGGTTTCAATGCATTTATGGAAAACTTCTCCTTTTGATATCTTCATGAACATGCGTTAGTGTGAACTTATGTATTGGTTTGTCAATTGGAATACAGGGAAGTAACTGAAAATTCATAGAATAATCATTAATTATTTTTAAATAAATTATGCATTTAATCATCCAATTATACTATTTTTTGATCATATAATTATCTTGTAAAATCTCACATAACTTTATGTTTTGGTTTTATTTTGGTCACCCTCCATTAAAAAATTAACAGTGGTGTTGATGTATCATCGTAAGAAAATATCACATCATTACTGAAAAATTAAAAATACCACATTAACAATTCTATTAATTTTTAAATAACGGATAATCAAACTGTAACTTAAGATACAACTTAAAAAAATAGTCAAATAACCAAAACAAAAATACATAAATAATTGGATAATTAAATATATAATTTATTTTATTTTTTATATTCATCTTCGTAATATCAAACCACCGCCATGGAAGATGAAGACTTTTAGAAACAAGAAATTTTGCTTATCAATTCACATTATGTTATGCAACATGAAATATAGTAAGAGGATGAATAAGTTGAAATTATTGACCTTTTTTTTATTTGTTTGTTTATCTTGAAATTTACGTCTGAGTCACGTGAATATGGCCTAAACGTACGCATGGTCGTACCTAAACGGATTAGTAGTTTAAAAGCAAGAGAGAAAATATAACATTTAAATCCCAAGAATTTGAGTATCAAAGAGAATCATTGAAGTGACTAGTTATTTTTTTAAACCATACTTACTTTTAAAATATTTACATAGGCATGAAACCATAACCATTTACAAAATGGGGCATCAATTTAGAAATTTGATTATTAAAGGTTGGCTTATTTAAAATCATGACCTTTACATACCCACTAAGCTGTTATCATTGTACTCTGGTACTAGCTGAGACTCATCCGATGATATCATTATCATTTCGCACTTCGTAAAACCTAAAATCTGCGAATAAAAACACATTCCAAACGTTGAACTCACAAGCCTCATACCACAAAATAATTTTATTATACTACATGCATTCAGTTAGAGAAGCAATACTACTATGTCATCAATGCTACCAAACCATCTATTCAAGGTACATCCACTATCATAATAGTCAGAGTCTCATGCTTCCTTTAGTGTACTGCTAAGGGCCTCACTATGAGTATACATATTCTGGTGTCTAACCACAATACCATGCTTCTATGCATCATCGTATGTAACACACAATCATCAAACACACAAGTTGAGGTAGGCATCATGGTGTGGTCAAAGGTTCTATTACATCTCAGGACTCACACTCCTCTAGCTTACCTATGATACTTTCGGGTACCTAAGATGAGATTCAAAATTTTTACATCAGAATTTTACATCCAGCTAACATACTCCTTGTGAGTACTCGGGGCATCTACGCCTAGCTAGCAAATAAGTGCCTTGGCAATTGTTACGATATATCTGTATACTTCTAATCAAACAAGATGATCATCGTGTACACATAAGTACCAGGGTGCCTATAGGCCACACACATCAATCAATGCCACACAAAGGAAAACAAGGTAGCTCAACCACTCACTATCATAGTTTATCACAATCAGGTAAGGCCATCCCTTCACTCGCTACTATCTCGTTCATTATCTCCTCTAGAATATTATGCAAGAGTTTATCAGTATTTTAGTGCTTTATGCCCTTAAGGCAATTAATATTTATCGTTACACACTTAATATATTATTATTAGCTTGACACCCAACTCGGGGTTGGTTAATCGATAATTACTCTTTAGTTGATATCATCATACTTTCCTTCAATTCACCCTTGAGCTGGAGGGACGACTTGTACGTCATCATCATATACGAGTAACTTGGGTGTCATCGTTGTTTCCCGAGTATCAAACAAATGTATAAGTCTTATAGAATCTTACTTCATAAGGTTATTATGGTTATCACATAATTTATTCAAAATTTTCACTTGTAAGCTTTAATGAGAGGTTTTAGCGGTCTTAGACCTCTTCTCGAGTCCTTAAACTAAAACGAGACTTCTTGCTCATTTCAATTCAAGGGTATCGATACGAAGCCCTTTAGTATCGATACCACCCAAGTATCAGTACCAAAATTGGCTACTATAGCTCCCCCTTGGTACTGATACCCAAAGAATAATATCGATAGTACTCAACCAAAAACCCCAATATTAATCGTTTTTAATATTCTTACTAAGTCTTCATTATTAAACTCTTTTTATACAACTAAACATCTTATATAATTATTAAACTATTATGTAACTCAATCTCTTACTAGTAGAGATTGTTTCATTCACTCAAACTCATAAGAGTAATTTAGTAATTTCATCCTCCTAAGGGCATTCTAGTAGTTCACCCCACTCACAAGTACATCAGATATTTAAGGCTTATGGAAAAATATTTAATTAAATATCGAAGTCTTAACACCTTTTCTATGCACTCTCAAGCTTTCCGTATCACTAACTATGACCAATGCCATTTAGGCTTTTTCACCAGTTAAACAAGCAATCATTATTGTCTTATACCATTTCTTAAGGTCTTACGCTTTTAAAGACACTTTCATATCTTTATAAGGCACTATTCATAATTAGGGGTAATTTGGTAATTTCAACTATCTAAAGGCATTTTAGTAATTTCTCACATTCTCATGCTACATGATTGGTCTCAACTATTACTAAAGTCCTCACTCTTGAGTCTATTAGATATTTTGAGGTCCACTAAATAGTCTTTAATTGTGGTATCGATATCTACCATAAAGTATCGCTGCTCTCCCTGAGTATCAATACCAAAAAAATAGGCCCAAAAGTCCCCTAAAATACCCTTAGTATCGATACCATACATATAGTATCCATACTCCTTTGGGTATCAGTACTAAGATTAGCTTCAAAATGACCCAAAAATCAATATTTGTATTCTTCAAATGAGCAGTATCAGTACTCCCCTATGCAATATTGGTACAACCCTAATAAAATAGCCAAATTTTGTCCAAAATATGAATAATATAGATATTGTTTGTATAGTATCAATTATCCAACCTAGAAATACATTGTTTAACACTAGAAACACCTCCAAATTCACCCCAAACCCTTGTTTTAAGGTCTATATTGATTATTAAAGCTTATGAAAATCATTAAGGGTCATCATAAATCATTTTTACACTAAAGTAAAGTCTAAAATGTCCATAATAATAAATAAAACACTCAAGCCCCCAAATATTTTTCCACCCCATACAAGCAAGCTATGTTAAATGATACGCACTACAAGGAGTAGGGAAGAATTATAGTGTGTTATCTCAGCTCCTAGCTACCTAAATATCTCTCTAGATCCTCTAAGAACCAATATTTTCAAGTCTTTGCTCTTTGGGGGTTCTTGCACCACTCTTCCACCACCCAAAAACTACTAAATGATTCCAAAATGAAAAGGGATGACACTAGTTGTTAAACAATGACTATAACATATGAAAATCAGATAGAAACCATGGGTGAAGCCTTTGGAGCTTAAACCTCCAAATGAGCTCATGGCCACCATTGCAGAAGATGGTGAGCTCATCTTGGAGCTTATGATCCAAGGATCGTGAATATTACCTTAGATTTTTTGAATGAAAAAGTAGATGAAGAAAGTTTGAAGTTTTTCTCTTGTTATTGCTCGAGTGGAGAGAAAGAGAAAGAAAAAAAGAAGAAAACAAGAGGAAGAAGGAAATAACGCCTTTTTAGCTCTCCACAAACTCCACGTCTATAAGAAGAAAGAATCATTGCAAATAAATGGGAAAATTACACTCTAAGTCTCTTACTTTCATTCTAAACTTAAAAATCCTCTTTTTAACTTCTACAAAGTTAATT